CATCAGCCAAGAGCCCAGGGAAGATACGCACCCTCACCACCGTCCAGGCCTTCCGCGCAGCCCTCAAGACCTGGCTATCCCAACAGGCCTGGGGATAAGCCTCTAATTTGCCCCACCCGAGTGTTGAATGTTGAATGCAAGTTGTGTTTTTATTACTTTATTTTGCTCACATATTGTTTATTTTGAATTGCTCCCCCTTCTTAATGATTGTAAGCCGCCCTGAGTCCCCTCAGGGAAAAGGGCGGCCTATAAATCCTAATAAAATACTAAAAATACTAAAAAATACTCAATATCAGCACTGCTACATCTACTAATGCTCCATTTTTGGAGCCAAATAACAAGTTAACAGGAAGAAAAACAAATTATTGATGAATTAAAATTGTTTAAATCAGAGGTTTATAACAAAAATATTAAGGTTACATGATTTTAAAGGCTGCCTTAAAAGAAGCATTTTCCTCCTTTCTGATATATAGGAAAGTGTGCCTCTTCTTGGATGAAGCACTTTCCTTACATCAGAGACAATGCCTCTTGTTAAATGTGGCATTTCCACTTCCTTTTTCCTTCCACAGGAAGGAATGTTTTTATTAAATGGGGAAAAAACACCAGCCTTATATCACACTTACCACACAGATGCATTTTATAGATTTCAACATCCTACCCTACCTTCTTTCTAGCTCCAGAAATTCATAAGCATTGCAGACTGACAATTGAAAACTCACCTTTTTCTGTCTTTATTTTTTTCTTTCCTTTTGGTCTTGAGACTTCTGGACCTACAAGAGAGCAGAAAACAAAATATTCAGGAGAAGGAGGAAGAAAGAAGAGAGAGCATGGGTGGTGTAAAACAAACAGAAGGAACAGCCACTTGGTTGGGCCTATTGAGTAATTTGCAAATAGTCTCATCCCTTGGCATCTCCTTTTTCTTCATTTATCAAATGCCCCACTGTCTCTCCTCCTACAGCCTATTTTTATCCTAATCCTAACCCTTATGAAACTTCACTTCTCATTGCTCTGCATATGTAGACTTTTTATGTTGCTAACATGAATGGGGATGTGGGGAGTGTCAGGAAAGGCTGTGTGGGCACAATTTGTGACATGCAGTTCTTCCCTTATGGTTAGTTGCTGTGGAGCTACTACTTTGGATTTTTTATTGGGATATCAAGAACAGATTTCTTGATGAATTGCTATCACATCACCTGAAGATGCCTTTCTGCCAAGTGAAGCAGTTTTCTCACTCTACCAAGCTTTTGAATTTTGAATCACTCAAGGTGATAGATGACCTACAGCCAGTGGTGTAATAGCACTGGCTTGTACCTGCTCACGAGAGCCAATTATCAAATTTTGGGGAATTTTGTAAGGTGACTGAAAGTAGAGCTAAGCTATGATATTTAGTGAACCTCAGCATAGCTACAGAAATGGAGGTGGCAGAACTGGTTGTTATAAATTTATCAGCACAGCATTGCTTAGAGCTCTAAAGCTATCTTTGCTATAGTCCCTAACCCATTTCAAAGCATTCTGTATGAATATGACAGGCTGTTTTAAGCCCATCATAGGAAAAAGGGTCAAATAATGAAGTTTAAATTAATATTGTCCTCAAACTGCAAGGCAATTTATTATCTATCTTGGCTAAATTAAAAAGCTAAACAGGATTAGAGCTGGCACCTGAACAGGAAAACAGCAGAAAACTGGAAAAGCCTCCCAGAGGAAGGCACTAACCAATCTTCCTGGTGTTATTGCCAATACATGGTTTCCATGTAATCACCAGGAATCAGGCTTGATTAGGGCCAGAATTAACATCTATGGACAAAGAAAGGAAAGGGGTGCTAGCTCTGGAGTCCAAAGCAGTGAAAACCAGAACGGGGAGAAAGCGATACCGTCCGCCCTCACCTGTGCCTCCTCTTCTTATGAGATCCAGATCCAGACCTGACGGGCAACCAACCAGAGGAAAACAAAGGGGAGGGAAAGGGATACATTGTTTGAAATAGAGGATTAATAGCACAACCAAATATAAACTGGAAGGTCTAAAAGTTTTTTCTCTACACTGTATTCCATCATATGAAAATACTCTAAGACAAAAATGGAATCCAAGGTAGAGACAGTGTAAACGTGGCAACATTGACTCTTAATGACTGAAATTTCTATAGGAAGCTTTAGCCTTCACTCAGAAGGGTGTACCATCTAATTGTATTATTTAACTATTTCTCTGTGATGGTCTGGGTGTGGGGTGAGAGAGAGAGAAAGAGAGAGGAAAGGAGGGAGGGAGGGATCATGTAAGCTTTGGCTATCTTATAATATTTTACCTTTTTTTTCCTTATACTGTGAAATAACTATTTTTTTTTAAAAAAACAGGGTGGTCATTTGTCTACTGAGATTCTCAGTCATTTACATCATGGTTGTCCCAAAGGCGCTTTTTCAAAAGGCAACTGGACTTTATTTTTTTTCCTTGAAGACATTTCACTTCTCAACCAAGAAGTTTCTTCAGTTCCAAAGCTTCTGAAGAACTTTTGGATGAGAAGCGAAACATCTTTGTTAAAAAGTCCAATTGCCTTTTGAAAAAACACCATTGGGAGAGTGGTTATTTGTTTCCCTAATATTGCCAGCCCTTCAGTCTATTCCTGCCTTCCCTGATCTAGTGTTTTCTGGGTAAGTTAATGCACCTTCTAAAGATGCTGCTCCAAACTGTTAAGGAACTTTTCAGGAACTTTTCTGAGTTTTTGGGTCCTTTAGCTGTTTTAGTTGTTCCGAGGCTGAATCAGTATCTTTTTCCTTAGTGAATTTGCTCCAGCATTGAGTTACAGCATTTCTTCAAAACAGGGATACATAATTTCTTCCAATAAGCCCTACATGTATACAGTATTTTTCTATATGCAACATTTTATAAAAATTCTTATGTATAGTTCAGTTGTATAAAGTGTCTATGTATGTGTGTACATACAACACACACACACACACACACACACACACACACACACACACACACACACACACACAGTCATTCCCCAAATTGCATCACAGTTCAATATGACCAGGAAGCTAAATCTGAAGTGTGAATATTAAAAAGAGAATATTTTGACAATCTGCACTAAAACAAAAACTTTATGCGTGTCATAAAAGCATTAAAAAGAATAAAAGCATTTTATTCACTTGATTGTGATTCAGGCACTTGGCAATCAATATGCATTTTGACAGTTGCAGCATCCTGAGGCTCACATGATCTCCATTTGTGATATTCTCAGCCAGCTTCCAACAAGCAAAGTCAATGGAGGAAGCGGGATTCACTTAATGATCATGGTTTAAAAAAAGTTTGTAAAATCAGGTGTGGTCACCTGATGACCCAATGATCACATGGCTTAGTGACTGGAGTTCCAGTCCCAACTGTAGTCATAAGTCAAGGACTACCTGTAACATAATTTGAATGGGAGTGAATTTTGTTTTTTTGCTGCCATCTGTCATAGCCAAAGATCAGAAGTCCTTTTAATTTCCCAATAACAAATTTCACTAGAAGGCATAAATTTTCATGATTTACAGCACAATGCATCGGATGCACAGAGTGGCTAAACTGCTGTAAGTTTTACACTGGGTTGGTGGAGGAAGGAGAAGAGAGGGCTGTTGTGCAGGATACACATTAGACAGTAAGGTTACCAATATATTATGTATATTATTCAGCTGGCTTTTTAAAGCTTAAGAAAGAAGATAAGAACTTTATTTGTAAAATTTATAATCTTCTATCCATATCCAAGCCTGACAAATTTCTTTCAAACCAAGATGAATTCTTGCTAATTTGGCTAAACTGGAATTCTGTTCTCAAAATACACAATTTAAATGGGACAGGTTTATTTTTGCTGCTTAATCCCAAATGGTATTGTCTCATCTCTGGAGTAACTGGATACACTGATCCATGTAGGCCAAGAGTTTCTCAATATCAGCAACTTTCCTATGTTTGGATTTTAACTTGCAGACTTCTCCAGCCACCTGAGAAGTTCTGGGAGTTGAAGTCCACACTTAAAATGGCTGACATTAAAAATTCTAGGCTAGGCCAATGCTTCCTTTGCTATCCTCAATCTTGCTTGGAGAATAAACTGTACCTGTTGACTACGTTCCTTTTAACTGGAGATACATGACAATGTGCTTAGCCACTCAACAAAAATAGCCAAACAGATTACCTGTCTCTCCGGTGTTTTTTTCCACTTTTCTTCTTCTTCTCCTTCCGAACTGGGGAAGAACTACCCCCACTGTAAGTAATAAGAAGTATCAGATATTAGTTAGTAAAAGGTAGGAAGGAAGAAACACAGCCAGGGGCTGATTAAGTCTTATGTATTCCCAATATCCTGAGTGGGTGGAAAAGCTGTAGATTTGGAACCTGGGATAATGGAGGGACAAACCCACTCTCTTTCTCAGTCTCTGTCTCATGTATGTCCTGCACTCATTGTATGGGTATTGGGTTGTTTTTTTTTTGTTAGTTCTGAGCAGGACTTCTCAATCTTGGCAACTTTAAGATATGTGGATTTCAACTCCCCAAACCCCACAGGAAGCTGGTTCTGAGTATGAAGGATAAGAAGTATGTTCTATAAAGTGCGTCTTCTCTTTTAAGAATATATTTTGGTATTACACAGCCAGAATGCTCAGTCATCATAGGAGTTACAGTTCCCAAGGCAAGAAGAAGGGCACCAAGTTGGGGTAGATGAATGACCACAGACAACATGAATACACACAATCACAGAAACTCATAGATGTACACCTATATAATCCCATGCAAGGGGATTTCTTAATAAATTCCAGCTATGGGTATCTGATATGAGCTACAAAAATCTCGATTAATGAAGTCTAGGTTGGTGGGATGTTAAAAAGGCAAGATGGCAGGAGCATCACAATGCGAGTCCTACCTCTTTTGTACATGCGGATGTGCATGCAAAACAGACAGGGCTTGCATTGCCATGCACCATCTGCCATCTTGCCTTTTTAGACATGCACATGTCACCATGGCCCTGGACAACCATTGGGTCACTGATGGCAAGCCACAGCATTTTGAGTAACACATGAGTGTTTGTCAATGCCCAACAACTATTCTCAAAACCACACAACATTCTTGTGTGCTTTTTGGAACTCTGCAGGCCTCATAAGAATGGGGTGTGCTCTTGCATAGCCTATGGACCTTCTGGAAGTCATACAAAAGGGGTGTGCTCTTGTATGTACAGAGCCTCCATCATGTGAAAACAGAGCATTCTCTGCAGCTGAAGACCTGATGTGACCCAGGGTAGCCTTGTGTAGGTTTCAGGGGCCTGTCAATAGAAAGAAAACATTGCCTGAAGGTAAGTGGTATATAACAGATCCTGAGCTCTGTGGAAAATCTCATGCATCTTGGGGAACAGCATGAGGTTCTGAGAGGCTGCAATGGTGCTAGGACTGAAGTTGAGTTCCACCATTCAAAGGATTGGAGGGAGGGGAAAAAGATAGGTGGGGGAAGATTTGTTTAGAGACTCTAGTCCTAGTTCTAGCCGGATACCTAATCTGTAAGGGAAAATAACATATGAGAATTCTTTTGTAATCATCTCATTAGGCCATGCAGTGCTAGGAAATACTTTCCCCATTTAAGAGGAATAGGATTTGCACTTTCCTCTGAAAGTGTACTGCTTTTTGCAAAAGATAAATGGCTTCACAAAAGTTGAGAGAGAGTATATAGTTATATGTAGGTATGTTTTCTGCAAGGACAAGAAAATGAAAGGGTACAAATGAAAGGATACCAACTGAAACCAAAGGGCCATATTAATCAATAAAAGAATTCTTCAGTTAGTTTAAAAACCTCAGAAAAAGCCAGGAGCAAATAATTTTGGACAGGATTTTTGCATCCAGATCTCATATTGCTGGGGGGCAGGGAAGCATGACATCAATTATGTTGCCCACCCGCCAAAAACCTGAGACTCACCTATGCTCTGATCCAGGTTTCCTTTTTTTGCTGAAGTTGCAAAACAGAAACAGACAAAGCAGATATTAAGGAAAATCTCTTCATAAAGAGAATTTGGGAAAGGGACCAGCTTCTAAAATTGGATTTATCATAAGGTGGGAATTTCTCTTTCTCTCACCATCCCCACAGGTTCTATTTATAAACTTTCTGCAAGTTCTGTCATCCTGCCTGAGCTCTGAATAAACCCATGAGTATCTAAAGAATCTCAGATTTCCTGAACAAGATATTAATTCACATTGAGGTGGGGGGGAAGGCTTTTTTTTCCAGAGAAGCTCTGGATCCTGTTTGACAGAGATCTTTAGAGATACATAAGGATTTTGTAGCATTGCTAACTGACAAAGCATAAAATATTGACATGCAAAGTAGCCAATCATATTTTAGTCTAATTTTTGTATGAACCCAATCAATTATTCAGTTTTCAATACAGCATGTGCAAATGTTGGAAATTTAACTAAAATCATGGGTTTTAGTTATTCATGGGAAAGTGCAACATATAAGCATAGCCAATCTAAAAGACTTTAGTTACTTAATTATTTAATATCCTATACTTTTCTCCAAGAAGCTCAAGGAATTCTAACAATTAACTGAAAACCACTTCATGAACATTAGGAATCAGAATGTGTGTCATATCTGATATTAATGGAAAGTTTAGTGCCATCTAGTGCTCAAAGGGAGATATAATAAGAAGCTATCCTGCCAAAAAGTAAGGGAAACATGACACTTAAGTCTTCCTCTGGATTCATCAGGTCAGACTTATATTTCATCCAATTGAAGAGCAGTCAGGTGCCACTATAATTTATTTCCTTGCCCATGGTTCGGGGTCATTTCTTTTTAAACAAAAGTTATTTGTTTTACTTAATACTTTTGTATGGTTAGCACTAAGAGTGAGCATTTATCAGGTCATTCATTAGGAGGTTATAATTTGAAGGATCATTATACAGCAGGTGGTGTAAGTGTTCAGAAGGAACTTTAAAAATGCCTAAGAATTTAGGAACCAACATTGAGTTACATTTTGCAAATCTTCCTAAAAATGCTTTAATCTGCATTTGACTAGTTAATGTGTAGATTGAAACATGGTTGTCACATTTACATTTCCTAACCATTGGAGGAAGAGAAGATTAAACTGTTAAAATGGTTAAAACAGTTGTTTAAATGTGAAAGGGAAAAGAATGACAAATATACCACTGCTATAAATGCTCAAGGTCTTTTTAACATCCCTGGAGAGACCTGAAGGAGGGACCTGAAGGGAAATTTTAATTGAAATATGCTGTTCCGCACCCCCATCCCCTTCCATTTCTCCACTTTTTCCTCACTGTATCAATATGTATGCTGTATGCTGTATCAATATTCTTTTAAATCCATTGTTTTTGTTCTTTGAAGCCACTAACCCAATATAATGGAATGTGTGTAGAAACCCCACTAAGTCATGGTATTACATTCTTGCTTTCCTGCCCAGAATGAAAAGTGTTCATCCCTTCAATCATTTCAAATTCTGAAACATTGTATTTCTGGACAGAGCTTCCCTGTGAGGATTGAGGCCTAAAGGCAAAAAGTTAAGATCATGGTTGCAACTATATAATCAAATCCATCAACCTTTTTGACACCCTCTCCCCTGTGATATCCTGCGTGAGGCAATTGCTCCTAAAAGCTTTGCCAATCCTTATAAAATATCTTAGTTCACCTGTGAGGCAGCCATTTTGCCTTTGTCAAAAGAGACATTCCAGGTTGCTCTTACTTTGAGTGACTATTTACTGCTTTCACCAAAATGGTTAGACAAATCTAGTTGGCTTGGCAAACATCAAACAAGCAAGAGTCATAAAAGAAGCAGAGTGAATAGCAGATATAGCCAGATAGTTTTACCACTCTATAGTTCCTCCTTTTAAATGCTTCTCACTCATCTAAAAAAAAACCTTGTTCCTCAAAACAGTCATTCTTTGAAGAGAAGAGCACAAGCAGAGAACCTGGAAGATTGGTGGGAAGAAGGAAAGGAAATGGGTGTTCCTGCTCCTTGGTCTACATTGCCTCTTACAGCGGCTGCAGTTCACTATCAGGCTGGTGATATTACCAAATGGGCAGCCATTCATATTTTTAAAAATCTGTGACACAGTAGCAGGCTGGTCTTTACATTAGGTGGGAGAATCTGGGGATGTCAGCTGTGGTTGTGATATCCTCAGTATCTCACTTTGATCCATTTCATTCTGATGTATGGGGCCCCAGCCTTAATTGTATCCCGAAGATACTGCTGCCTAAAAATGTCCAAGAATTGGGGAATTTCTTCCTGATGGCTAGCAAAACTGAAAAAAATATGCGAAAATGAAATGTGATATGATAGCAGTGTTCCAATATTTTAGGGGCTGCCACAAAGAAGAGAGGGTAAACCTATTCTCCAAAATACCTGAAGGCAGGACAAGAAGCAGTGGATGGAAACTAATCAAGGAGAGAAGCAACCTAGAACTAAGGAGAAAATTCCTGACAGTGAGAACAATTAACCAGTGTTAATTGGCTTGCCTCAGAAAGTTGTGGGTGCTCCATCACTGGAGTTTTTGAAGAAGGGATTGGACAACCATTTCTCCGAAATGGCATAGGATCTGCTCGGGCAGGGGGCTAGACTGGAGGATCTCTTGGGTCTCTTCCAACTCTGTTATTCTGTTATTCTTTCTATGATCATGTGTATCCATCCAATCAAGTCCAAAGAAAGTCCAGAATGATATAGGATCTCCTGTCATGGCAGCGAGTTGGACAAAAAGACCACTAAGGTCCCTTCCCACCCTTTTATTCTATTCTATACATTTCCCTCACATATTTGCATCATGATCTAATGGAATGAGATGCTTCACTGCAGCCTTCCTGCATCCCCGCCCCCCTTGAGGTTTTGGAATTGCCACTTCTGGAATTCTCAATTAGCAAACACATCTGGAAGTCAACAGCTGGAGGAAGGATGGAAACATTTTAGAAACAAAGACTGTATGGTTCTGTAGGTAATTTCTTAGTCTTCATTCACAACTGCTCCTGTTGCCATGCCTTCTTCAATGGGCGTGAATCATTTTTAGTGCAAAGACGATCATGCTCAATTGTACAGGGAGCCTCCTAAAGTCCAGCTCTCTCTCACACAAGGCAACAAGGCCAGGTAATCCTTTGGCAGCATCTTCACAGAGGTCTAACCATTATCAGATGTTACTGATGCAAGAAGTTTTGCCCTCTGAAGCAAGGGTGAGATGGTGTACACCCTCCCCATTCCCTTTACTGAAGGCCCTTTGACTGACAACTAAACCCTAATGAATTTGTATAAAGTGAAATTTAGATTTATACCCTATTTATCAGGCAGAAAATCAAGGCTCTGACAATTGAGTAGCATTTTTGCCTAAAGCTGATGGCAGCAAGCTAGTTTAGGAGATAAAGGCTCTGTTCTCAATAGGCAGAACAGCTTGGGAAGCTAAAGATCATCTAGACTGCTCATTCCTGTTGTCTCCTAACATTTATGCTCAGGTGATTGCTTTCCTTTCCTTCTATATAGCCACAAAAATGGGTGAGGATGGACAGCCCAGATGGGGGAGAGGGGAACCAATTGCCCTTTCATAGGGCCTACAGGAAAACTTTTCCAAGTCCTTCACTACCTTCCCAGTGGTCTTCCTACTCCAAAATATATCTTTTTAATTGAAAAACGTTTATATGGCAAGGGTGTGTGTGTTATCCTTTCAGTTTTGAAACAGTTTCAAAGGTAGAGTTTTCTCAAGGAGTGGAGTAGAAAAGGGAAGGATTCAGTCTCACTTTGCTCCATCTTCTTGCAACATTTGTATGTGTGTTGTTAATATTAATGCTACCAGTTCCGGCTGCAGAAAACTAGATGAGCCCTTGATGGCAGTAAAAAGATACAGAACACTCTAATTCTTTATTGCCACCTGGTGATTATCTTGATTTATGCAGTCCCGATCTGGTAACTCTGTTAATGTGAATGCTCAAAACAATGACCATTTAATATTATAACTGGCTTGCCCACAAGATGGCGACCATGAAAGTCTATTTATATTCTCTACATATTAGTGTGTGCATATTTATTTATATTTCTATAGCAATCTGTCTCAGCAAACGACTCTGGGTGGTTCACAATTCAAAACATATATTACAATTAAAATTTAAAAACATTTTAAAACAATTAAAACAGTAAAAAGCATTAAAACAGTAAAAGAATTAAAATATCTAATTTGAAATACATACAAAAGCAAGGTATCTGGCCTGTTAGCAATATACCCAGGAGGCAGGGCCCTTGGCACATATTGTGCCCAAGACTCAGGAACATAGCCAGGTTTTTAGTGCTTTATGGAAGGCTAACAGGGTTGAGTCCATTCTAATCTCCAAAGGGAGGCTGCTCCACAGGGGCCACTGCAGAAAAAGTTTGCCTTCGAGTCCTTGTCAGCTGACATCCTTTGGCTGACAGGATCATGTGATGTGAGAAAGAGATGCTGCTTAAGGAATGGTCAGATAAGAGAGAACAGAGTCTGAAGCCACATAATGGGTGGAGAAAGAGGCTCAGAAGGGACTCTCCCTAACTTCTCAGACTGAAGGAGATGGCAGGAGATTTGCACTTTCAGGCATGCAAGAATTTGTAAATATAGTTTTACAATAAAGTAGAATTAGCTCATCTAGCTATGTTTCCTGTTCTGGTTTACCTGAGAAGGCTGACAATATATAAAATTATATTGAATCAGACATCATCCAATTTTTCCAGCTAAGAGAGGAGGCTTTTTGACAGATTCAAACTCTAAAATCTCCTTAACTTCCTTAACCCATGCTGTCAAGATGCTTTAACCTTGGCAACGATGACTTCTCTAGATCATTGGGAAGTTGTGGCCCATTGCATCTGGAGTGTATCAGGTCAGAAAAGGCTATCAAATCATTGATTCATCTACTCAAGTGATTCTCAACCTGTGGCCCTGGACCACTGGGGAGCCGCAATGTCATCACAGGATGTACATGAAGGCTTGAAGAAATGTTATGATTTAAATATTGAGTTAAGTGTTGGGGGTCCATAGGCATGGACCATGGCCACAAAAGGAGGGGGGGGTCTGTGGTGAAGAAAAGGTTGAGAACCACTGATCTAGCCTATTATATAGTAGAATATTCTACTTGGCAGCAGTGTAAGACTATTTTTGATGCAAAATGCAAACAAGCAATAGATGGTAATTCAGAGATACAGAAAACTCTCTTTCCTGCCATCTAAGGATCATTCTGATTATCTCAGCCTAGATCTGGAAGCCCTTGGTATAGATCTAATTAGAGATGTCAGGAATCACACTTAGAATTTTCTGCATAAATGCATGAACGAAGCAGCTCGATTGGATAGCCCCTGATTCAATTCATAGACTTCCAGACATCAGTTCCATTAAAGAGACTCACCGGTTTCGCCTGTGACCTGATTTTTTTTTCTTTTTCTTCTTTGGTGGTGGAGAGGTGGAGCTACTAGATTGTCTCTTCAGCCTAAGGAAGAAGTAAATAGAAGACACTCAGTCATTTCTTTAACAATTTCTCATAGCAGAAGAGAAGATATATCTGAATCTGAACTGCACCACTTTACAGTGTACAATAAAGTAGTACCATTAATGACTAAATATTCATCTATATAACCACCAATTCATTTCTTGACATGCTTATTGATTTTATTTTCATTTGGAAGTCTATCACTTTTGTAATCCTTTCCCCACACTAATTGCAAGACTCTATAGTTGTAACTATAGTTGTAACTCGAGGACTACATGTAGTGTCAGTCAGCGTACAACAATGGTTGAATCAAGACAAAAGAGAGCTCTGGCAATCCCAGAAGTGTAAAAAGAGAGTTCCCCAACATTTTAAGAGCAAAGACAAAAATGATAATATCTATTTTGTAATAAACTTTAGATACATAAAATGAAAACAGCTGCATAAGCAAAAAAATGCATTTCTTGATTTTAGAAATATGTGTTTGCAATGGTTGAAAATATATCTTTATTTCTTAGCCGTGGTGGTGCAGAGATTAGAATGCAGTATTGTAAGCTAACTCTGCCCATAATCAGGAGTTCGATCCTGACCAGCTCAAGGTTGATTCAGCCTTCCATCATTCTGCTATCAATAAAATGAGGACCCAGATCATTGGGGGCAATATGCTGACTCTGTAAACTATTCAGAGAGTGCTATAAAGCACTAAGGCACAGTATATCAGTCTAAATGATATTGCTATTGCTAACTTTGCCTCTATTATTTCAAGCCAAAGGAGATGCTTGTACACTTGAAGACCCTCAGTTGATGGATTTAAGCTACCTTTAGGAAAGGTCTTCCCTCACAGGGTTCCTCAGCATTTGTCCCCCTGCCTTCACTTATAGAATAGTCTCTTGAAAGACGTACACATTGTAGTTAGTGTTAGCATTTATTATTGTTTCATATAAATCAATTAATTAATTAATTCCTAATTATTTCTTGTTTGCTGCTTCAAATGATGCATCAGAATGGAAGCAAAAGAGAATTGTTTGACATAAACATGCCTCTGTGGATGTGCGTTTGTGTATCAGAGGGTGTCAGTGACAACAGCATTTTAATAGTATTTTCTCTGGGTAACATAGATAGAAATTAAAACCATAAATAGAGAAATGGAAAATGAAGGTAAGATTAAAAGCAAATTAAAATAGCAGTGGAACTAAGCCAGCAACAGTAGAGTCCAGGTATCTATACCACTTAATAAATAAAAGTGGGTCCCTTTACAGGGAGTACAGATATGTTGACTTCATTTATTTCACAAAAAGGGTCTTGTGTGCCTATTTCTTCATATCACCATGAGGGATAAATCAGAAAATGACCTGAATTAAATAGAAAGCTCAGAATTGTTAGGGCCTTTTCCATTCAGAATTAACTGTCGGGTAAAATTATTGTTCCTTAAAATTGCTGAATGCAGAATCCTAAAATTATACATTAGATTCACACAACACTCTACAGTACATCTTAAAGGGGAAAGGGAAACAAAACACAAGTATAGTGTTCGCAGCATAATATTATCCAAAATCCCATTTTATAGCTTTATGCAATAACCCAGTGATGGCTAACCTTTTTGGTGCTGAGTGCCCAGCAAAACCTCAAAATGCAATGTGAATGCCCCCCGTGCATGTACCCTGCCCCTCTCTGCAAGCGCACATCCCCCGTGCACACCATGGGCTATTTTTGGCTTCCAGGTTGATGCAGGAGGCTTTCCAGGTGCAAAACAGGTTGCAGGGGACGCGTGCCATGCACGGAAATCCCCAAAATGCAATGCAAGAACCCCCAGTACATGCATCCCACCCCCTGCACATGAGGGGCAGAGACCTGAAGACCAGATGGCTGGCGGGAGGTGTACACTCATGTGCGGTGGAGCTGGGCTGGGGCAACAGTTGGAGTGCCCACAGAGAACGCTCTGCATGCCACCTATGGCACGCCTTCCATAGGTTCACCATCATGGCAATAGCCTGTTTTGCACAACATTCTACAGTCATGACTAGTTGCCATAATATCCTGAATCACAAAATGTTCAACTTCATTTTAGCATAGTTTGAATTGGAAAGGCCTTCAAAGATCATATGTTCTAACCCCTGCCAGTTACTAACTAATCACTGCAGCATCCTTAGGATTATTTCATCATCCATCCTGAAAACTCCATATCAAAGGTGAGGCTGGGGCCATTTCATGTGTTGGAAAGTTAAACTATTTTGTCTTGTAATTTGCTTTGGAATGTTTGGGGGCAAAAAGTGGCAAATTGATGATATATTTTTTTCTTACTAGAAAAGGAGAAGGGAAAAGATCCAAGGAAGGAAAAGGGTTGATGTTTGGGAGTAGAGGGAGAGGGAAAGGGAGAAGAAAAGAAAAAAGAAAAGAAAAAAGAAAAGGAAAGGAAAGGGAAAAAAATCAGATGTAGTGGTGAGGAAATTCCAGAAGCATCTTTAGGTTTGGTCAAAAACTGTGTGATGATTGCAATAGTGTGATGCAAACAGACAGATGATAAATAGATAGACAGACAGACAGGCAGGCAAGAGAACTTCAATTGCACCATAATCTTGGCTTTTTTCACCACACCCTGCAGACATCCCTCATGAATTCTCTTAAATTTGTTAGTCTGCAATAATGAAAAGAAGTCTTACATAATCAGTATAGAAAGTAGATATAAATCAGGCAGTGTCTGTAGAGATTCTCAGTCATCCAAGTCATGGTTGTCCCAAAGCAGTGGTGGATTGCTAACCAGTTTACTACCGGTTCTCTCATGCTTGTGCTCATGCTCGTGCAACATTTCTGCACATGCGCAGATACGTCCGGGCAGGTGGGCGGAGCCTTCCGCTGCTGTCACTACTGGTTTGACTGAACCGAGCCGAACCAGAAGCAACCCACCTCTGTACCAAAGGTGCTTTTTCAGGAGACAACTGGGCTTCCTTTTTTTTCTTTTGAAGATGTTTTGCTTCTCATCCAAGAAGCTTCTTCAGCTCTGACAGCCCCCCACCACGCTTCCATTCCCCACTGTCCTGTCAGAGCTGAAGTAAGTTCCTGGATGAGAAGCAACATGTCTTCAAAAGAAAAAACAAGAAAGTCCAGTTGCCTCCTGAAAAAGCACCTTTGGGAAACTTCAAGTGGCTTGAAGTTATATTTTTGGTTATGTTTATACAATTTATTCCTGGTTCAAATTCTTTGGCATTGGAAGCCTGTCCCTACTAAAGCATAGCAGAGATGCATAAATATTATCCCTTTTAGCTGTGTACAACATGTGGACTTGACCTGGTTAAAAATCTAGCAGCCACTTTGCATGAATCTTCATTTGTTTCTTTTGGGTCTTAGCATGTTGTGCAAACCCAGCTTGTTTAGTTCATTTATCTTCAATGTTGTATAATCAGGTTATTCATAAAGTGTGGAACCACCTGCACAGTATGTAAATTAATACGGCCTTTGCGGGATTAATCAGCCCATTGCAATCTAGTCCCCTGAGTACTGTCAACTTTGATACAGATCTGACAATAAAAAAAGATTATTTGTTTTGACCAGGGAGGAAGATTTTCTAACCCAGTCTAAAATAAACAGTGGTGCCTTACCAGAGAGATGCATAAAAAAGGCACATGTGGGTATTCTGAGCATGAATGGACAGTCCAGAGAAAAAGGGTAAAATATAATTGAGAATTTAGAGGGTTTTATCTTGACATATGGGACATCTATTGTGGGGTATAAAAAAATTCAAGATGGCAACTATAGTGTCAGGGAATTGTGCAGCAAATGTCCAAATGAAGTCAGAGATGCTGACATTGTGGTTTTATATAAAGAAATATAAGTTACATCTATATTTACAGCAAACAAAATAGCTAGGCTAACAGGAGCATTATGAGGTAAATCACAGAGCATACAGGGCACGCAGAAGAAAAAGGCGGGGAAAAAGGGAAACGCCCCTTTCACATCCACAGCAACCAATCCGAGGGCAGATTGCCTCATACAAGAGCCAGGGCTCTCCAATCAATCAACCATAACAGTTTTTCTGGCTTACTACACAACCCACTGCTCCAGCTACTAAATTTATATATCTTAAGATACAATCACATAAAGACCATCAATGTGGCATCAATGTACATAGAAAAGGGATGGGGCTTTAACTGTGGCTGCCATCTTGATTTTTTTGACATCCCCCCTCTATGGACACTCATACTGCTACAACTACCATCTTGTCTTTTGATGGATTTTACTTCAAATCAAATACATCCAACTCCTTTTACCTTTCATCCTAAAAAATAAATAACTAGCAAATCTGGTCACATGGAATTGCATAGAAGTCTGGCCCCAAACAAGGGCGAGGAGATAAATAAGAAATTTTATCACTTCCAAAATTACAAAAAACTTTGCTCCAACTGTTTGTCTCCAAATTCCAACTGACAGCTGAAATCTAAGCTTTTATTTTAGCTAGAATTGTGATGTCATTGGTGAATGTGTGGGCTTATCCTAAGAAAAGTAGAGGAATCTGAGATTTTTCTTCCAGTATTTGCTATAATATGATTTTCTCCATTTGTCAGGAAATTAGTATTTTATTTCATAATTTCACTGAAAAACCTCTCTTCCTAGGCATTAGAAATTCGGGCCAGCTGCTCCATCTGTTTCCTTGACTTGCTCATTTTAACATCTAAGCAACCATTTGTTCATGGCATAGGAATTGTTTTTTTTTTAAAATAATCTATTTGGGTGTTATTATTTGGCAGATGAAAATCCATTGTTGCCATTTGAAATGAACCAACAGTAAAGCTCTTATCTGTAAGATTAAGCTTCATGTAATAAAAGCTCTGATTAAACTTCATAGAATACTAAAATCTTGCTAGAAAATCAGTGCACCCTTATCACAATAGTTTCCCTTGGAGCCATAGTTGATATCTGTGATGCTCACCTGTATTCTTGGTGACTGCTGTCGTATTGGTAACAGTCAGCTGCACAGTCACACTGCAATGGGCAACCTTCTTCATATTCTGCATATTGTATGGCGTATTCTTCTCCATCTACCATATGATGATTTTCTATTACTCTGTCCAAGAAAAAAAAGAGGAAAACAGTCCTTCAGAGCTTAGCCAATATATCTAGTATTATGTGGAAAGCCCCACTGTGAATATGATTGTATTCATGCTTCCACCAGGATTCTTTGTGTCTTTGACTGAAGGTTGTAAAACAATCGACAAAACGAATCTCATTGTTACTATAGGCCACGATCACATTTAAACTTATTTTCTGTAATGTTTTGTCAGTATGCGTGTAGGTGTGTATATATGGATGATATAGATATATATCCATTCTAAATATAATGGAAAATGGAGTGGTTGAGCAAAATTTCAATCATCAGCAAATTTGCAGGAGTTAATAGATTCCTAGTTCAGATGACTTCCACAAATACAGGTAATCCTCAACTCACAACCACAATTGAGACCAACATTTATGTTGTGAGACACAATAACAACATTTTTGTTGCTAAGTGAATCTGGCTTCCCCATTGACTTTGCTTGTCAGAAGGTATGAACTAGTTGCCAAGCATTTGAATGTTGATCACATGATCATGTTACAAAAGTAATTGTGAAAAATGGTCATTAGTCACTTTTTTTCAGTACTATTGTAACTTTGAACAGTCATTAAACAAACTTCTATGTCAAAGATTATCTGTATTTTAAATATCTGAGTATTATATCACAAAATATGGGGAAAGGCTTTACCCAAAGGATAATTCTACTGTCAACTCGCATTGAAATTTATAAAATTTAAAAATATGCAAATATTAAATTGAGCATTTTTATATAAAAAGTGTAGGAATATATATCTAATAATTTTACCACTACTTTGGAACAATCAGCTTGAATAATCTCTTTTGTGCCCCAATTGAAGTTTGCCTTAATGAAAGCAATATTTGTTTTATTTAGCGTATGCAGTTTCTGCACATTTATGAACAATGCAGTAATAATTTTAAGCTGAGGAAAAGAACTCAACTAAATAGAATGGTCAGGGAGACTAAAAATTCCCCATCAGTTTTATTATCTGGAGAAAGACTGCAGAAGAGGCAGACAGTTGGATCCAATACAATACAATACAATAGCAGAGTTGGAAGGGACCTTGGAGGTCTTCTAGTCAAACCCCCTGCCTAGGCAGGAAACCCTATACCATTTCAGACAAATGGCTATCCAACATCTTCTTAAAGACTTCTAGTGTTGGGGCATTCACAACTTCTGAAGGCAAGCTGTTCCACTGATTAATTGTTCTAACTGTCAGGAAATTTCTCCTCAGTTCTAAGTTGCTTCTCTCCTTGATTAGTTTCCACCCATTGCTTCTTGTTCTACCCTCAGGTGCCTTGGAGAATAGTTTGACTCCCTCTTCTTTGTGGCAACCCCTGAGATATTGGAACACTGCTATCATTTGGTCTTATATTTCTTACTAAAGTGAAATATATTAAGTTGCTATTTTTAAATTACTGCAAATCATTCTAAATTTGCACATATAAATTAGCATCTTAATATAAATTAGCATTCACTAATCTTATACAAAGACCAGCATTGTCCAAAGACTTCCTATGTCAGCATGCAGTTGCCTGGAGCTTTCTGCTCTCATGTCACATTTATACCCAGCGTGACATATTGTTCTTGCTAGCTGACCCTGCCTGACAGTACAGGCAATGTAGAAAATAGGGACAGCTACTGAGCTGCTAAGAGCAGGGTGAAAAGGCTGAGAGAAAGAGAAATGAAATCTAATGGTTAGCAGACCAATATGAATTCTAGGACAGCTTTTTCAAGACAGCTCAGAGCAAGACACTTGATGGGATCAGAAGTGAGGAGAAATTTCAAGATCCACTGAAGTAAAGAAAGTATTGTCATAGGCAAATCTACCCAGGACAAATAACTTGTGGGAAGCCAATAAATAAATAAATACCAGAATAATACCCCCCTTGCTTATCTCTAAGAGATTGATTGATTGATTGATTGATTATATGCCATCAACTCATTTTCTACCACATAGACTTTCTCCAGGAAGATCTATGACAATCTATAACAGAATAATAGAATAACAGAGTTGGAAGGGACCTTGGAGGTCTTTTAGTCCAACCTTCTGCTCAAGCAGGAAAGTGTCTACCATTCCAGACAAGTGACTGTCCAATCTCTTCTTAAAAGCCTCCAATGATGGAGCACCCACAACTTCTGAAGGCAAGCTCTTCTACTTATTAATTGTTCTCATTGTCATGAAATTTCTCCTTAGTTGTAGGTTGATTTTCTCCTTGATTTCCATCCATTGCTGCTTGTCTTGCCTTCTGGTGCTTTGGAAAATAGGTTTACCCCCTCTTCTTTGTGGCAGCCCTTCAAATATTGCAACACTGCTATCATATCACCTTCTAGTCCTTTTTAAATGACTAGCCATATCCAATTCCCGGAACTATTCCATATATTTTAGCCTCTAGCTGCCTAATCTTCTTGGTTGCTCTTCTCTGTACTCTTTCAGAGTCTCAATCTATTTTTTATAATATGGTGACCAAAACTGGATGCAATATTCTAAGGCTTTATAATTGGTACTATCCTACTTAAATAGGGAATGGGAAAGATATGTAAAAGTAGAAGATTTTTTATTTAGTGAAGAAAACTCTTAAGACTGAAAACTTTACTTTGCTAGTTGAAGAGTGTTTTATCCTAAAATTTTTTGGCATATATTAGTCAAGTCAGTTGATTTTCCTTCGCATTATGGAATAATCAGCACTTCCTGGATATTTCAGAATTTTGTTGCTTAGCTAAGTTGTAACACTGCTTAAAATGAACCTTACCTTGTTTTGTTATATTACTAAGAGAATAATCACTGTTTTCCCCCCGAATGCCATCACTCTGCTAAACAACGAATTCCCACAACACTGTCAAATCTTTTACTAAGACTGTGTTACTATTCTTCTCATCCTTCCTAGTACCTATCTCTTCCCATTTATGACTATAACCATGTTACTTGTAACTTTACAATTTGCAAAGTAGTAAACCTAGTATGATTTGATTGCTTATTAGTAACCAATGACTATCACTAAGTGTTTTATCTTGTGATTCTTGATAGATGTATTTTATTTTTCTTTATGCACACTGAGAGCATATGCACCAAAGACAAATTCCTTGTGTGTCCAATCACAATTGGCCAATAAAGAATTCACAAAAAATAACTTGGGTACTACATCTTGGATCAAATCCACAACTGCCAAAGCCCTTATGACATCTCTGTAAATACTATTTATAATCCAGATGACACTTAAAATCTGGGGGTTTGGCTGTAGTTTCATAAATTATTTCTTGGATTGGGTAGAATGGGAAGAGGAATCCCTTTAATTGTATTTATTTATTAAAAATTAACCCATGTGTTGTCAATAAGTGTAAATTCTTTACTGAGAGCTATCTGTCTTTACAATTCCAAAAAGTATTGAATCAGCATGCAAGCAATGCCTCCTCATCAACAAACAAAATCAATCATGGACAAAAATAAGAGAAAATAATAACATTTGGAAATGTCACCCCCTCTGCCTTTGTCTCTGCTTTTTCAGAAAAAGTGTGTAATTACAATATTATGGCTGACTAATGTTTTTTGGAGGTGGAACTCACCAGCCTTCCCTTGGAAAGAAGTCAGGAGGGGAAAATTGCAGCAAGAGTATTACAGCCCAGCGGATACTGCCTGGGAGACATTAATCTCTGCTGTTCAAAAATCTTAACCAGATTATAAGGCAAGTGAATAATTGGCTGTTGTAAAGGAAATGAACCCCAGGATGTTTGAGGGGGAGATATTAGTGGGCTGGAGAAATGAAAAAGGGGAGCATAGCTTTTGGATGGGTAAAAAGCCTACTCATAGTTTTCTCCAGGATAAAAGATAAAGTATCCTTTGAATCAAAGTTTGTCCTTTGGTAAGTTCATGGATATATCCATGCATTCTTCTGGTTAACATTACAGCCTTTTTTTCTATTGTTATTGGAGAGCAAAATAGAGGAAAATCATTACAATCAGTATTCATAAGCTTCATGATTGTCTCGTGACAGAGGACTGAGAAAGGGATTGCTTCGTCTGTCTGTGTGTCCAGTTTTTTTGCAATTTATGGGAGAACAATGAAACATAATATGAATGTTCTTCCACTGAAAGAAAAGTTGAATCTCATTGCTCTCTATTAGATTCGACTTTGTGATACTCCCATGTATTCATAGCTGACAGGCACAAATACAGAACCTCCACAGCATCATTTCGGTGGGCAGGATGGAGATATGAAATTAATTTGTAAAGTTATTACATAAGGTTACTACATCATAGTGATGATAGCTCACTCCTTGTTGCCAGATGACCTTATCTATAGATGTCATAGGTAAGGACGTAAACAGGATTGGAGAGAGTGCTGAAGCCTTTGGGACCCTCAACATCATAGGCCACAGATTAAACTCCTACCCTTATCAACACTGACTGGAACTAGCCCTGGAGAAGGAAAAGCATAATGCAATGCTACCCATTCCCCAATCCAATTCAGAGAAATACCATGATCAATGATGTGCTGAAAGATACTAAGAGATCAAAAGAAGAGATGACCATTATCCACTTCTGCCACCTACAAGCATGATCTATACCATTTCAGTCCTGTACTCAGCACTTGGGTGTGAGACTAAGCATATCCCTAATTTTAACTAAAATGATGGAGGATACAATATAGTCATGTAGAACATAGGAGGTGACAAGATTTGCACTAAAATACATGATGGTATTGTATATGTATAAAACAGAAGAAGAGGGGCAGGCAAGAAGAAGAGGGAGCTTGGAAATACTTCAGTCCCCAAATGATCTCCTTTAGCTGCTTTTCTGGTAGAAGAACCTTTTAGATTGTGGTCGAAATGAAACCCTTGGGGGTCTCAGTGGAACTTGAGATGCAAATGCAGTCGGCTCTTGCTAATCTATAGTTTAAATTATATGTAATAAACATCATTTGGATTTACATAACATTCTTACCCTTGTAGTAGTTTGACCCATAAACTAACTAAATATCACATTAACCTAACCAAGGCCAGCAGCAATCAACTTTTGTGGTACTAATGAAATGTGTTATGTAGATGCTGCCAACAGAATCTTAGCTAACCTAATTAATCTTATTACATAAACACGGCTAGCTAGTCCTTTCTTGAAATGAGGCATTATATCTGCAGCAAGATCATGATTACAAGCAAAGCAGATAGAAGTTGCTAAAAAAAGAAACTGATCTAATATTGAAAGCTAAGGCTTAGGACTCCTTTGGCATCTTTTGACTCCACAAAAACTATGCCTGTTTTTTTTTTCTTTCCTTCCTCAGGACCATGGCTAATTTATCTCTGTTGTCCCAAATGGCCAGCCCTAACAAAGTTTTCATATTAATAAATTAACTTTATTCCTGTCTTGAATATTCTTCTGATTTCTCTCTTGACCTCCTGATGGCTGTCCTGATGGATGACTGTACATTCATGTGTAATTCATTGCGCTGTGCAATGTGTAGTACATTAGTTCAATCAATCTATCAGAATAAAGCTGGAAGGGACCTTGGAAGTCTTCTGATTCAACCCCCTGCTCAAGCAGGCAACTCTATACCATTTCCAACAAGTGACTGTCCAGTCTCTTCTTAAAACTTCCAGTGATGAAGCATTCACAACTTCTGAAGGCAAGCTGTTCCACTGGTTAATTGTTCTTACAATACAATACAGTACAGTACAATGCAATGCAATGCAATACAATACAATACAATACAATACAATAGCAGAGTTGGAAGGGACCTTGGAGGTCTTCTAGTCCAACCCCCTGCCTAGGCAGGAAACCCTATAACGTTTCAGACATATGGCTATCCAACATCTTAAAGACTTTCAGTGTTGGGACATTCACAACTTCTGGAGGCAAGCTGTTCCACTGATTAATTGTTCTAACTGTCAGGAAATTTCTCCTCAGTTCTAAGTTGCTTCTCTCCTTGATTAGTTTCCACCCATTGTTTCTTGTTCTACCCTCAGGTGCCTTGGAGAATAGTTTGACTCCCTCTTCTTTGTGGCAACCCCTGAGATATTGGAACACTGCTATCATGTCTCCCCTAGTCCTTCTTTCTCTTAAACGAAACATAGCCAGTTCCTGCAACCGTTCTTTATATGTTTTATTCTCCAGTCCCTTAATCATCTTTGTTGCTCTTCTCTGCACTCTTTCCAGAGTCTCCACATTTTTTCTACATCGTGGCAACCAAAACTGAATGCAGTATTCCAAGTGTGGCCTTACCAAGGCATTATAAAGTGGTATTAACACTTCACGTGATCTTGATTCTATCCCTCTGTTTATGCAGCCTAGAACTGTGTTGGCTTTTTTGGCAGCTGCTGCACATTGTTGGCTTATATTTAAATGGTTGTCCACTAGGACTCCAAGATCCCTCTCACAGTTACTACTATTGAGCAAGGAACCACCTATATTGTACCTGTGCATTTCGTTTTTGTTGCCTAAATGTAGAACCTTACTCTTTTCACCATTGAATTTTATTTTATTAGATAGTGCCCAATGTTCAAGTTTGTCAAGATCCTTCTGTATCTTGAGCCTATCTTCTGGAGTGTTGGCTATTCCTGCCAGCTTGGCGTCATCTGCAAATTTGATGAGTTCCCCATTTATTCTCTCATCCAAATCATTGATGAAGATGTTGAAGAAACCAAGAGCTAGCACAACAGAGAGCAATGTCTTTGCAGGCTTGCCCAGCCAATTAACCTTTTCTAGTGATCAAAATGAATATTGAACTTAACGAACTATCTGTTGAATGTTTAGTCAGGTACATATACATGAATACCCAGGTGCATGAAAATACAAATATTGGGATAAACTAAAACTATGATGTACGAAAGACCAGAGGAACATCAAAGTACAACTGCTGAATAAAAGAGCTGGCCAGGACATGAATTTCAATGACAAAGAGCAGGCTAAGAACAGCCAAATCCCTTTCTAATAGTCTTCTCTATTAGTCTTTTGTATCAATATTCCAGGATAAAAACCAGCTGGTCAGAATCAACACTTTTAGATTATAAAACAGGAGACAAAAAGGAACTTTGCTTGCCTATCTCTGGGTGTGCTTGTGTGAGAAGTATAAAAGCTGTTCTGATCCATACCTTGCAATTTTATTAGCTGTTTCTTGCCTGCTACTTCTGTTATCTCCTCAACTCAGCAATCTTTCTAGGATTACAACATAACTTTTCCCAACTATTTGAAGGCTAATTAATATTAGTTGGGAAAACCATGTTCATTAGCAATGAGTGTCTCTGATTAGTTTTGCTGGAAGTGAGGAATGTACTAAAGGGACAACTATGTTCAAGCATTGATTCAATAAACCTGTGCTATTGTTGTACTATACTGAGAAATGGTTACTTTCTGGTGTGATTGAACCAGCTAAGGACAAAGTGCCTCAGAAGAAGGGAAAATGGTTGTCTATGATGTCCTCCCTTAAGATGCACTTCCCCAGAATTGAGATTATTGTGGAGTAAAGTCCAGATCCCTATCTGAACTGGACAGAACCATCAAAGAGACTATATTGGAGAAGTGGGGGAGAAAACTGTGTTTCCTAATAAGTATTTAGAGACAGGAGAGGTTCTTACCACCATCTTCCTCTGCATGTACTGTGGTTTCATAGATAAAAATTTAAGTACCTTTAATCCAGCATTTTGCAATATGGTTCCTTTCCAATGGCCATTTTGTATTATAATGGAGAATAATCACCAGCACTCTAATTATCTGATATTTGGGGCACACTGCTCTTGCTATTTTTATGGCATTGGTGGCAGTCATATTTTAAATAAAATGCGTAGAACGATGTACAGGCAGGGGTGGGATTCTAACAGTTCGGACCGGTTCAGGCAAATTGGTAGCTCTGACAATCAGCTGGGAGCAAACCGGTTCACTCTGATGATCAGCTGGGCCCATCTGCCCACACGTTGTACTGACCTATATCCTCTCAGCTGAGTCATGCGGCACAGCGGATTGCTGCACCTCAGCTGTTTTCCTCCCCAGCAGTAATGCAGAAGGTAAGTTTTCACAAAACTGTGCACATGCAATCACCGAACTGGTTGTTAAACCAGTAAGATCCCACCACTGTGTACAGGTTAATTGTGAGCACCATAACCCTTCCTGTGAAGACTTGTATTAGTTGTATCAGAGCACGGGTGTAAACCTTGCAGCATCACATTGTCATCACATGATGTATCGCTACATTTTCCCCCTTTGTAGAGCTGGGGTGGGCATGGCCTGCGCCTGATGCATTCAGTTTGACATCTCTGTATCAGAGCAACACTAAGTGATGAAATTTTAACTGATTGCCATGGGATTTGCTGTTCTCTTCAGCAGGGAGACTTTTTCCCATCTCAGTGGGTAGAAAAAAAGAATACCAAATGGAAAGTCCAGCTCATCCTTCTTGCTGGCATGCTAAGTTTCTACATGCAAGGATTTGGGGGCAATTAGACTCTTTTGAGTCTGCTCCACAGAGCTGGAAGAAGAGAAGCCAAATTGACGTGATTGCATAGCAACCACTCCATACTCACATATGCCGTCCGTGTTGGTCTTCACGGGTGAGAACACCCTCCTTTTCCATCAGCATTTGCCGGAAGGTGCCAACTTTCTGCCGGATATCCTCTTCAGAATACCTGTCAGAAGAAAGGAAGGAAGGAAGATGGGAAGCACATCAGGAATGTTCAGAATTTGCCCTACTATGGATATCTTTCCTTTATTAAGGGAACCTCCTCCAAATCACAGATCAACCATCTTAACTTTTTTGACACCTCCCTTTCCCCAAGAACACCCATCTAAGGATAATTAGCATCTGAGGCAACTAGATACCTCTTTCCATTTCCCCATATTAATTCAGTAGACTTTATGTTGCCTTGCTGAAGGGACAGCACCAACAAGAAACTGCACTAATGGCCTCATTCTACTTGGTCTACTACAGCATCTCATCCTTGATACTATAAGGTGCTGAGCACATCATCTGCCTTTGGTCTCCATAGCAGAGCTTCTGGGATTCAGTTGTGCAGACCGAGTCCACGAATTAAGATATCAATAATTCTTATTCATCTTAACTTCAAAGAATATAAAGAAACACATTTGGGAGTCCCATAGTGACTCAACAACGTGGAACAGACCTCACAGACATACAAGGAGGAAATTAGGAAGGGATGGATACTGAAAGAACTGATGCACGCTTTCACACAAATTGGAAAATGGGCCTTATTTCAAATTGCAGCTTTGCCTTTGGAATGGTACTTATTGTGTTATATAAACAGCTCAGATCAAATAATGTGTTGTTATTGTGGTAGGGGTGGCACCTATATTAACAGAACAGAATAACAGAGTTGGAAGGGACCTTGGAGGTCTTCTAGTCCAACTTCCTGCTCAGGCAGGGAAGCCTATACTATTTCAGACAATGGTTATCCAATCTCTTCTTAAAAATTTCCAATGTTGGAGCACCCACAACTTCTGGAGGCAAGCCATTCCACTGATTAATTGTTCTGTCAGGAAATTTCTCCATAGTTCTAGGTTGCTTCTCTCCTTGGTTAGTTTCCATCCATTGCTTCTTATCCTTCAGGTGCTTTGGAGAATAGGTTGACTCCGTCTTCTCTGTGGCAGCCCCTGAGATATTGGAACACATATTCACAATAGCCACCCCAAATCTTCTTAGCATTGATTGTTATCACTCAATATCAGAGGCCACCTCTTTGATTTTCCCAGCAACCTCCTATCAGCTTGTCCTCTATTCACCCCCTGACCTTCTTACTGCCCCCCATCTTCAATGATATGTTTTTTCAGCAATTATTTAAAAAAATTGAATGCTTTCTTCAATTTAGCACAGAACCGCAAAAAGATGAGAAGTAACTTAGAGAAACAATTAACAAACCTAACTCCTGAATGCCTCTATACTTAACTGTATTCCAGTGAATAGAATCAGTCATAAATCAGACATCTCCCTCTTCAAAATTTCATCTACTTTCCCCTATTTTCAGATGCCACTATTTACCTGGCAAATCACTATCTTCACACTTTACTCTCAGCCTTAATGTGCTTTGTTTAGTTTTCACTTAGTGTGATGTGTGAAGTCAGTCACCATGCCTTATTTAACAAATCCTATTTAAATTAAATCAGGATTCAAATCAATGTATGCGGCCAGCCACTGACCTGATTTCTGGGTGCATCTATCTATGCTTCAGAATGTCCATGGAACAGTGATTCCTAAACTGGGGTGAGGGAGGTAATTACCCTCAAGGTGGTTAATTTGAGTAGATCCTAATTGTACACACAGAACAATTTGTAATTGCTTGATTGTGAATTGATGGTCAAATTTGGGACTGCCACAGTTAAAATAACTGTAAAATAAGAGATTCTGGCATTTTTACCAGGTTAAAGACATTATTTGAGAATGAAAAAAAGGGTAATTGGGTCAAACAGTTTAAGAACACTCCCCTTGAAGTTAAATCCCCAAATAAGGAGTGGGTTAACGTCTCTATCTTCTATCTCTATAACAGAGATATGTTATGCATGTTTCTACTGCTTTGTTGAATTATTTATGTATGTGGGATGGGGGTGGGGGTGTTTTCCATGTAGCTAGCCACCCAGAGTCATTTAGCAAGTAGGCACCCATAAACACTGAATAAATAAAAAATTTAAAAAATGCATGAATAATTAAAGTATGGCATAAGCTCTGCATTCCATGCAGGCCAAAGGGTCTTTCCCCATGACTAAATTACAAAGCTTTTTTTACTTTTGAACGGGAAGAGGACAAGCCCAGCATTAAATTTGCTATTCCCCTTATCAAGTCCATATCTTGTTTCTATTATTCTTCTCTCCAGTCAGAGCAAATCTTGACCCTGAAGACTCTTCTTCACTTAATAGTTAGGAATTGAATCCCTGTATTCAGGGGACAAGGATGTCTTTATCTACTTCTCCGAAGCATTCATCTGTTTTAAGTTGAAAAAGGTTCTTTTCTCCAAAGTAAATGCTAATAACGTGTAAGAGATTTTTATATTGTACACGCAAGGCTGTTGTTAGACATTGCTCAAACAAGTGGGGAAATGCTACTTTACATCATCACAGCTTATAACCATTTATCTCACTCCTGGGCTGAGGACAAGATGAAAGCCATGTGAAAGGGGAAAATAAGAATGATTGCAGACTTATTTGGGCTTGTAAATAATTAACTGTAATGTAAGATGCTTTTGCTCTGCTACTTTAACAGGATAAAGACACCCCGCTCTACCCAAGACAGGAGAAATGAAAATGAAAGCAGATGGAAGGTAATAATATCCCTACATCACATTTAACCAGGTCTGAAGATCTGGCACAGTGTTTCTCAATCTTGGCCACGTTAGGCTGGCTGGGGGATTCTGGGACAACTTAACATTGTCAAGGTTGAGAAACATTGATCCAGCAGCTGTTTTTGTACACTCCCCTGTTGATGTTGGTTAGTGTCATCCTTAGTTTTGTTTGTTGTCACTTAATGTGTTGTGTGAAATTAGCTCAGGTTATTATTTAATTGTATGATGTAGTGTATGAATCCAGAAAACAGATTAATTCAGAAATCAGGTTAATTGTTATCAATCAATAAGTTAATTAGATTAGAGCTGGAAGGGATCTTGGAGGTCTTCTAACCCAACCTCCTGTCCAAACTAACTCAAGCAGTTCCCTCCCTCTCTCTCGCTCTGTGTGTGTGTGTGTGTGTGTGTGATCTCTCTATATCTATCTATCTATCTATCTATCTATCTATCTATCTATCTATCTATCTATCTATCT